CGGCAGCACCTACGAGGGCCAGTGGCAGAACGGGAAGCGCCACGGCCTCGGCGTCGAAACCCGCGGCAGGTGGGTCTACCGAGGCGAGTGGACGCAGGGTTTCAAGGGACGCTACGGAGTCCGCCAGTCCACCACGTCGTCGGCCAAATACGAGGGGACTTGGGCGAATGGACTTCAGGACGGCTACGGGTCGGAGACGTATGCGGATTCGGGTGAGTAGGTTGTAGGTTGTGGGTTGTGGGTTGTCTTTTTATGTTTTTTTTTTTTTTTTAGGAGTGTTGTTGGTATTGTTAGTGCTGTTGGGCTGTTGTTGTTATTATTATCATAAGTATCTTTGTTATGATTAGTGTTGTTATTGATATTATTATTGTCCTTACTGTCATTATTATTACTATTATTAATATTATCATTTTCATTATTGTTATTACTATCATTATTATTATTGCCATTATCATTATTATTATTATTATTATTATTATTATCATTATTATCATAATTATTATTATCATTATTATTATTATTATTATGATTATTATTATCATTATTATTATTATTATTATTATTATTATTGTTATTATTATTATCATCATTATCACTATTGTTATTACTACTATTGTTATTATTATCATTATCATTATTAATACTTTTACTAGTATTACTGCTGTTATCATTATCATTATCATCAATTTTTTTTTTTAAAAATGATGGAGAAATCTTCGAAACGTCACGTTCTGTTTCTCTTTTTTTTTTTTTTAATGATCATTGCCTTATCCTCCTCATTCTCATCACTAACTTTATTATCAATCCGATTTCCCTTTATTATTATTATTATTATTATCCTTTTTTCTCATGCGTTTTTGAAGTTAATCTCATTTTTCTTTTCATTTTCTTTTCTATTCAGTGATACATGACAGTTTTAGGATATTTTTGAGTATCTCAAGTTTATGGTTGATTTTTTTTTGAAACGTTCATTACATTTCCCCCCCCCCCCCCAAGAAACTAGTATATATACTGCTTTTCCTTTTCAGTTTAAGTCTAAACATTTCAGGAAACTAATTTGGTTGTATTAGAAATTACTGTATCGTAATTCATTTAGAAATAGAATTTCTTAAAAAATATATAATTTCTTATTTGTTTATATCTATATCATTGCTCATGAATTCTCATCAATTCCTAATAAGATGATTTTTGCTCTTTACGAAATATCATTGAATTCGAATTAAAAGTAAACTTTCAATTTTAAACATTTACTGAATACCGGTAACCTCCAATAATTTTTTTTTATTTAAATTGAATTCGCGAACTATCACAAAACATTCGATTTTAGCTATTTATGATATATCATTATTTTACGATCTAGTCTTATTTCTTTTAAACTATTTGCGAAAACATTCGATTTTAACTATTTACGAAATATCATTCAATTTTAATCAAAACTAAACATTCCATTTTAACCATGTCTTTTTCGAAGTCTACGGAGTGAAAACCCACATTTCACTAGTCCGATCGGCCCATAACCTACATTATCTGGTCTTCAGTTTTACATTTAGGTGGTATGTTTAGATAATTGATGTAAAATATTTTTTGGATGAAGATTATTATACTTAATATCAGTTTTTTTCTTTTCTTTTTTTCAATGGAGCTCTTTATTGTCTTTTAGGACTATTCAAATTAATTGTCTCGCCGTCTCTCATTAAGAAAGCAAAGTATTTCTTGAATGATGTCATTATGGGTTATTTTAAGCACACTTTTTTAACTGAATATAAAAGCATACACTTGCCATTATTATAGCTATTTCCATTATGATTGTGATTATTCTTATCATTGACATAAACATTGCTGTAGTCATTACTTTTTTTCATTGTTTTTTATTATTATTATTTTATTATTATTATCATTATTATTATTATCATTATTATCATTATTATTATTATTATTATTATTATTATCATTATTATTCACCATTATCATTATCATTATTATCATTATTATTATTACTATTACTATTATTATAATGATTATTACTATCATTATCATCATTATAACTGTTATCGTCACCATCATCATCATCATCATTACCAGCATCAATCATCGTCATCGTTACTATCACTATCATCATTTCTGTCATTAATTCGCTTTCACATATTGATAATCAAGCCGTTTCTTTCTGATTTCGCAATCGCACTAAAAAAAAAGAAAGAAAAAAACGAAAAAAAAGTCAAGAAGGAAATTCAAGAGAGAAAATAAACATAACTTGTGAAACGATATGATATTCTATTAAGCCCGTACTCCTCGTTAATTGAAGACAAACAAGCAATCGAAAAGCCTAACGAGTGAATCTCATTTAGGCCTAATTTCCGCTCGTCTTTTTCTCGTGTACATTAAAAAAAAGAAAAAAATATAAATATGCATATTTTTTTCTTTATCTATTTTTTTTTTTAGCTTTTTATTTTATTAATATTTTTCTTTTTTTACCTTTACCGCAGTTTCTCTCGAGCCAGAGTGGAAACCATATATTTTTTTGGTTATTGTTGTCTTTGGGTAAATGTGTTTTCATTGAATTCTAAGGAGGGGGGGTAAAAAGAAGAGGACGAAGAGGAGGAGGAGGAGGAGGAGGAGGAGGAGGAGGAGGAAGAAGAGGAGGAGGGAGAGAAGAAGAAGAAAATAGGAGGAGAGGGGAAGGGGAGGAGGAAGAAATAGAAGAAGAAGAAATGGAAGAAGATGAAGATGAAGGAAAAGAGGAGGGGGACAGGAGAAGGATGAAGAGGAGGAAGAGAAGGTAGAGGAGGAGTTGAGGAAGAAGAAGAGTAAGATGAAGAGGAGGGGGAGTATAGATAGGAGGGAGAGGAGGAGGAGGAGGAGAGAGGAGAGGAAGTAGGAAGAAGAAAAAGAAGAGGAGGAGGAGGGAAGAAAGGAAAAACAGAATAAATAAAGAGAGAAATGGAGGGTTGTGCAGAAGATATTCCTCCCCCCTCCTTTCCTTTCTCTCTCACTCACTCTGTTTCTCTCTCTTTCTCACCCTTAAATCTCCTTCCCACCCTTCCCTCCTTCTCTATTTCTTCTCTCTCCTTCTACCTTCTCACATTCTCTCTCTCTCTCTCCCAAACTCCGATACCGGGCCACCAGGCCTGCCAACCGTACGGAATTTCCTAAGTCTGTGCGAGCCGGTATGTTGGCCAGCCTGCCCGCCACTTGTCACTATCTTGCCCCGACTTTTTGGGACGTTTACCAGCGTCTCTTGCGGATAAGGGTTATAATTAGTAACTGGCGCGGTTCGTCAGGTGTCAAAATAGGGGCGTGGTTATATAATTACTGATTACTGATGACTTTGATTAGGTGGTTGTTTAGATTTCTTTCTGGGGAAGGGGGGGGCAGACTGACAGACAGATTGACTGACATAGATAGACAGGCAGACAGAGAGAGACAGACAAACACACACGCAGGCATGCAGAGAATAGACAGACAGATAGACAGATATAAATATATATATATATATATATATATATATATATATATATATATATATATATATATATATATAATATATATTATATATATATATATATATATATATATATATATATATAAATGTGGTGTGTGTGTGTGCGTGCGTGTGTGCGTGCGTGCGTGTGTGGTGTGTGTGGTGTGTGTGTGTGTGTGTGTGTGTGTGTGTGTGGTGTGTGTGTGTGTGTGTGTGTGTGTGTGTGCTTGTGTTTAACTTTCTGCCTTTCTATCAGTCTATTTATCTATCTATCCCTTTGTCTGTCTCTCTACATGTCTGAGAGAGAGAGAGAGAGAGAGAGAGAGAGAGAGAGGAGAGAGAGAGAGAGAGAGAGAGAGAGAGAGAGAGAGAGAGAGAGAGAGAGAGAGAGAGAGACAGACAGACAGACAGACAGACAGACAAACATACAGACAGACACACAAACAAAATCAAACAGACAGACAGAAACAAACCAACAAACCGTTCAGACACAGCCCAAGACATGATACGAACTAGAATTTAAAAAAAAATCCAAACTTTACAAGGCAGGCGATTGACAGGGAATTACTGAACACTGAAGATTGAGGCAATAAAGGGACGGAAATGTCGGTCACGAAAGAGGAGAAGAAGAGAGAGGAGAGAGAGAAGGGAGAGAGAGGGAAAGGGATAAATAGAGAGAGGGGGAGGAGAGAGGGAAAAGGGAGAGAAGACAGGAGGAGGGGAGAGATGAAGCGAGAGAGGAGGGGGAGAGATGAAGAGTGAGATGGAGGAGAGAGAGAGAGAGAACGAGAGAGAATGAGAGATAGATAGATAGATAGAAAATAAAATGACAGATTCAGAGAGAGAGAGAAAAAAACAATTAACAGACAGTCAGAGAGAGAGACAGAGTGAAATATTGCCAGACAGACAGAAACAGAGACAAGAGACAGACACAGACAGACAGAGACAGAAACAGAGACAAGAGAAAGACACAGACACCCAGAGACAGAAACAGAGACAAGAGAAGACACAGACACCAGAGACAGAACAGAGACAAGAGACAGACACAGCACCCCAGAGACAGAAACGAGACCAGCGACAGACACAGACACCCAGAGACGAACCAAAAGACAAGAGGACGACCACAGAATCAACCCAAGACCAGAAACGGAGCAAGAGACAAGACACGACAACCAGAGCCCAGAAACGAAGACAAGGAGGACAAGACACAGAACCAAACCCAGAGACAGCAAACATTGAGAAAGCGCCAGACAACGACGGACCAGAGAGATGAGCGGAGAGAGCGGCGGTGCAGATTGCCCAGTCTCTCTCTCCTGTCCCGTTCGAGCTGAGTCTGGCGAGCTGTTTAAGNACACACACAAACACACACACACACACACACACACACACACACACACACACACCACACACACACACACAACACACATATATATATATATATATATATATATATATATATATTATATGTATGTATGTATGCACATATGCACATATACGCTTTGTTATATGCATACACACACATTTTTGTTAAACCTTTTTCGACTTCCGTTTCGAATACTGTTTAATATCACACTTTTTGTATTTAGTATTGACAGACTTTTGCCCGTCACTGCACCTAGCCTGATAGCTGGGGCAAATGTAAAGCTAGACCATATTAGAACATAATTTGGAATTGCACTTTTTCATCTGAGAGAAAAAAAATCGATAGTGTTGGTATTGGTAAAGACGAAC